TTGATCTCCCTACTTTAGGAGCGGTTTTAGCCGGTAGGCGCATTGGGGAATACGACACTATCCCCCTTCGGGCGGTATCTTTTGAAGATTTCTCCTCTTCGAGGAAAAACGAAACAAACAAAAAGAAGTCACCTGTCCACATCTAGCATGCGAGATGGAAGGATCTCTGAAGAAGCTCGTCTGTAGTGCTAGCGAAACTTTAAGAAGCAACTCCAATTGTTTTAGAGTTTAGAAACCTCTCTTTTTGACTGATTTTTTGACAAAGTGCAATGCGCGCAATCCATCGGGGAAAAGTAACGCCATCTTGGGAGTAATTTCCCTCACCAATAAATTGTCATACTGAAATTTGAACTTGGTGGTTACTTTTAGATAAATTAGTTGGGAGCTGCTACGTTTGCTGTTTGACATTAATTTGTATTTGTTACTGTGTTTCGTTTTTTAGCCTTAAACAAACTTAACACATAACATGCAAAAAGACCAGCTTGTGAAAACTAATGCAGTGCTGGTATTAGAGCTCATATTGTATATATGAAAATGCCGAGGTGGTTGAATTACCGTCGCTCCAAATATTTATGGCACTTCATCTGCCAAACTAATATCAACCAGTCCACCATTAACCTCCAGTTAGCACCATTTTGTGCAATTTACATGCTAATGAATAGGTTATGGTTTATTACCATAGGTACCAAAAATGCACTTTCAGACTAGAAATATGTAGTTATGGAACAGACTACATAATGTCACTACCCATAATTCCCCTGTGCTCATTTGCATATCGTTATCTAAACGGGGAAAACTGATAGTTCCCCTGAACAGCTTTATCAATTCTGTCCACGGATTAGAATCCAGTGAGGACGCTGCTGAGAATAATTACTAGAACATACACGCGAACTAAAATATACGCAAAATGTATTTCCTGGTTTATTAATCGGCTTGTGAGCCAATGCCTTATTCTATATTTAACCCTTAATTCGTTTCTCAAAACAAAATATCACACTAAGAATTGTGAAAATTGGGTCATTATCCACAGCTCAATTAATCAACTAATTTTACACAAATGACTTTATTATCTCTTATTTAAAATCTGCACATATAGAATGAAATTAGCTTAAAGATAACAAAACAGAAGAAATTTGAAAATAGTTAATGAAGTCAATTAACTGTACATGTATATTCGTTAAAATCATCAGAACAGAGGACTCCATGGAAGTCAATAAAAAATAAGGAAGATAGGTTGGTAGGACACCTTCTCAGGCATGGAGGTCTAGTCAGAATCATTTTAGAGGCAGAAACAGGAGTTAAGAGGGGTAGAGGTAGACGTAGATTGAATTACTGTTAACAAATAGTTAAGGATGTGGGATGTTCTAGTTTTAGGGAAATGTGAAAACTAGCTCAGGATAGGAAAGAGTGGAGGTGCGTGTCCAACCAGTTTTAGGACTAACGACCTTATGATATTAGGGTGTTTCATTCCCACCAGCTAGCCCGGTTGGTGAGCGGGCAGTCCCTCCCACCTACACCGGAGGGTAAGGGAGAAGACCATCTTCAGCTTCCTTCTATTAGGAATCGTGGAAATGGGTGGATTGTGGTTGGGACGAGAAAGATGAGATGGATGAAATGAAGACAGAAGAGAGTCAAGATTATTTGTGGAACATTAATACTGTCCCAGCATTTGCCTATATGACCCAAGGAATCTACAGAAAAACTTGGACCAGTACGGACGGACCCGCAATCGAACTGGTGNACGATTTTCCTGCTTTTCCATTTTTACGAAAACCACAGAGGCGTCTTGTTCAGCGTGCTGTCAAACCTACACTAGCAAGGAGATCGGGCTGAAACTATAGCTACAAGCTATCCAAGGATGGTACTATAGAATGTCACCTCAAGGTAGGCCTAGTGGCGTCATCTCTTGGTTAGGCCGGAAACTTATCAATCCACCCTCGTATAATGCAGATTTGTTAGAAGAATACATAAACGGTGTGGTCTGGTGGCTAGGAGAAAGAAACTTTTAGGTATTTCATTCACACCAGTCAGTAATGCTGGCGGGCTGGCAGTCCCTCCGTACCACGCCGGAAAATTATCTGTGGAATATTACTGCCCCAGCATTTACCTAAATGATCCAAAGAAACCACAGAAAAACTTGGACCAAAGCGGAGCGGTGCCAAAGTCCGTATGCTAAGCAATGGTCTAAACATGTAGGCCAAACCGCTAGGTCGTTGTCGTTTGACATTAATTTGTATTTGTTACTGTGTTTCGTTTTTTAGCCTTAAACAAACTTAACACATAACAGGCAAAAAGACTAGCTTCTGAAAACTAATGCAGTGCTGGTATTAGAGCTCATATTGTATATATGAAAATGCCGAGGTGGTTGAATTACCGTCGCTCCAAATATTTATGGCACTTCATCTGCCAAACTAATATCAACCAGTCCACCATTAACCTCCAGTTAGCACCATTTTGTGCAATTTACATGCTAATGAATAGGTTATGGTTTATTACCATAGGTACCAAAAATGCACTTTCAGACTAGAAATATGTAGTTATGGAACAGACTACATAATGTCACTACCCATAATTTCCCTGTGCTCATTTGCATATCGTTATCTAAACGGGGAAAACTGATAGTTCCCCTGAACAGCTTTATCAATTCTGTCCACGGATTAGAATCCAGTGAGGACGCTGCTGAGAATAATTACTAGAACATACACGCGAACTAAAATATACGCAAAATGTATTTCCTGGTTTATTAATCGGCTTGTGAGCCAATGCCTTATTCTATATTTAACCCTTAATTCGTTTCTCAAAACAAAATATCACACTAAGAATTGTGAAAATTGGGTCATTATCCACAGCTCAATTAATCAACTAATTTTCCACAAATGACTTTATTATCTCTTATTTAAAATCTGCACATATAGAATGAAATTAGCTTAAAGATAACAAAACAGAAGAAATTTGAAAATAGTTAATGAAGTCAATTAACTGTACATGTATATTCGTTAAAATCATCAGAACAGAGGACTCCATGGAAGTCAATAAAAAATAAGGAAGATAGGTTGGTAGGACACCTTCTCAGGCATGGAGGTCTAGTCAGAATCATTTTAGAGGCAGAAACAGGAGTTAAGAGGGGTAGAGGTAGACGTAGATTGAATTACTGTTAACAAATAGTTAAGGATGTGGGATGTTCTAGTTTTAGGGAAATGTGAAAACTAGCTCAGGATAGGAAAGAGTGGAGGTGCGTGTCCAACCAGTTTTAGGACTAACGACCTTATGATATTAGGGTGTTTCATTCCCACCAGCTAGCCCGGTTGGTGAGCGGGCAGTCCCTCCCACCTACACCGGAGGGTAAGGGAGAAGACCATCTTCAGCTTCCTTCTATTAGGAATCGTGGAAATGGGTGGATTGTGGTTGGGACGAGAAAGATGAGATGGATGAAATGAAGACAGAAGAGAGTCAAGATTATTTGTGGAACATTAATACTGTCCCAGCATTTGCCTATATGACCCAAGGAATCTACAGAAAAACTTGGACCAGTACGGACGGACCCGCAATCGAACTGGTGTCCTCCTGAATTTAGTAGATATATTGTGGTACTTCAAAGGTGCAATGTGTTGCTGTTTAAAATGACAGCTGCTCGTTAATTGACTCGAAATTGAAGGAGTCACTTGTTTATTGCTTCAGCGGACCGGTGTATGGTTCAATAAGTTGCAGTTGATGTCTAGGTATCATTTTATTAACCGTAATAACGGCAGGTACTTGTATCAAACTGACAATAAATGAATGTTTAGAATGCCCGCTTTTCCTTTGTGTAGCGAACTAGCTCCTAGTCGTTCCTTTCACTGCTATTTAGTTGCAAGAGTAAACCCAGGGAAGTAGGGACTGTATACAACAGGCATATCATTAATAATTCAGGAGTTGAGAGTGCGTTTTATTGTCCGAGAAAACGTAGAAGAGATGGATCTCCACGTCTCGACCAACTAAATAAAAATTCTACATGAAGTGAACATGAAGTAGCATTCTCTGTTTAAGTCTGAAGGAAATAACATCAAATCGGAAGTCGTTTGCCAGGAAGAGGTAATATTTTTCAGGGAAGTTTATTTACTCTTTTTTCTGATGCCAACTCTGATCAGATAAAAGTATGTAAAGGGTACCGTAAAATATGAAATTCTGAAATAGAAACATACTTTAAATGGTGGAATATTTAGTAGGTTGCTTCAGTTTAACAACAGCACTGGGTTTTAGGGTTTTGTAATATTATTCAGTTGTAAACCCATTCTTTTCTTGTAGGCAAATGGGAAATCGTGAGTGAAATATTATTTTTCCGATTTCATAAGTAATAGTAAGATAATGAAGCAAATACCAGTAGAGAGATTATGAGGTTTTCTGTTAATTGACCTTTATATTTTGTTCTTGAAATACAGCAGATAACATAAATGATGTTACCTTCATTTTTTATCAATTTCTAGAAAACACCATCAGCTGTATAATAGTAAGTCACAAGAACCAACAGAATTTTGTAATCGATTCCTTCAGGTTCTGTATTCCTATTTTACTTATGTCTACTGTTCCTGTTGAAAATGTGTATAGAAACCAGTTAATTCCACTTTTAGCCCTTTGGATTGTATAGGTACTACTGCATCTTATGAACCTTGTCCTTGAGTTGAGCAGTGACAAAACTCAGCCCGTTTATTGATTTCATCAATCTCTATCATCTAAACATGATTGCCGTCAGAGTTTACAGGTTATCCTGATTGTATAGGAACATGGTTAACAGTAGACTCAGTCTTTTTGTAAAGTACAATATGAATACATTAAGGTCTGTATTTTGCGCATGTGAATCTCCATAAGATTTTAAAATACGAGTTCTACATAATCTACCGTTGAAGTTCAAATTGCTTCCGTTTTATTATCACATCGACTATACGGTAATCAATTTTGCATGGGAGTATTACCTAAACAAACTTCTCCAATTTATAATGTACCCATTTACTGAAATAACTTACCATCGTAGCCGTTTGATATAATTCCAGTGACTTTGCCGGCCACTCTGCCTCCCACTGGCATGTTGAGCGGGGATGTGGAAGCCCCTAGCTAAGAACCGCACGCCCTCTAGGTAGCATCTACCTGCAAAATATTTTAGCTATATCATCAAAACATCCTATAAAAGCAGCGATTATCGTTCTCAAGCGTGGAGGGGCTTCTCAAGTAAGTAATTATCTTAAACAGCATATAGTAATTAAAACTCATTAGTAACAGAACGAGAAAGGTGAAATGGAAATGAAACTATTTTCGAATGTAGATAATAAGTACGATCTGTTTGTGTTCATGGTCATGAGGTCATGTACAAATGGTTGTATGTATTTAAATTTAAAGTACATTTAGGAAACCAATATGTCATAAGGGTGAATAATGTTCCAAATGTAATTTGTCCTGGTACCTAACTGTCGTCGGTAGGATTTGAGGCGGCTAGTCCATTAGTTAAATGGGAATATCAGAGACGAAAGACTTTGCAGATAATGTCCGCTATGTCACAACATTGTCGTTAGCAGGATCAAGAAGGCCGTTCGATCATTTTGATTGACCGTCTGACTGCAGAATGCCTGAGATTTATTTGCGCCGTTATTATAGAGGTTAAAATGAAGCTTATTTACAACATCTCATTCAATAAGAACTAAGATTAATTACAATTCTCGAGAAGTTTATCTTCCTTAATGGACTTCCATGTTTGAAAGCAATGTTCGTCGCATGGAATGAGAAAGGTAGCCATGTGTTTCGTTTTATTTTACAGTAATTAGTTAAATGTGCGTTTTATGACAATAAAGATTACAGTTTTGTATCATATTTCTACTGGGTTTAAAGTAATTATTAATTAAACTAGTTCTTCCCTCTGTCCCTGCTATTTTTATTGCTCCACTATGACGTAGTGTCGGCCATCATTCTTTTCTAATTGTTACAGTTGTCGGCCATCATTCTTTTTCAATTGTTGTCGGCCATTATGGTTTTTTAATAGATGTATAGTAATCAATGATTAAAATTTAAAGGAATTGTTTGCAAATAGGTTTGCAACACATCGTACGATTCAGCTTCAGAAATTGCTGATACTATCTATGTAATGCTATTTTGCCCCATGCTGACGGCACTCATAATTTCTTTTATCACTATCACTGTATAGTATAAAACAAAGTCGCTTCCCGCTGTCTGTCCCTATGTATGCTTAGTTCTTTAAAACTATGCAACGGATTTTAATGCGGTTTTTTTAATAAATAGAGTGATTCAAGAGGAAGGTGTATATGTATAATACTTGCTACATTGATAATTTTAGAGGTTTCTAATGTGATGTCGTAAATAAACACATTTTTTGCGCTTACATTGCAAACGCTGGCTAAACCCTACGAGATAGATCAAAATAATATACTACAGTATTGTACATCTTAAAAAGGTCTAAAAAAAAGTCCGCGATGGTATATGTCTATCTCTTAGAGATAACCCACAATAACCATTTTTATCCTTTACTTTTTATGAGAAATAATGACTTATNGAGTTATCCAGGCTACATTGTTGTAATCTATATAAAAAAGTGCTGACATAGGTCTGCTCTCACGTTGGAGCCTTGATAACAAGTCTGAACTGGAAACTGCTTTTGCATAGTTAGCATTTAAGTTTTCTTATTGTTCTTTTTAATTATAAATCTTTAGATTGTTACCAGCGCGTCTACCATCTAGACGTATTTGTATTATCTAATGACAAAAAAGCTGTAAATGTTGTATATAAAGACATTCAATAGTATATTAAGTATCAGCACTGCACCCTTGCGAAGCTGGGGCGGGTCGCTAGTATATAGTATTTAAAGCGACTTAAAGGCATCAAGTTTCTACTAAAGGCATTATCTTGGAAATTTCATGTCTGCAATTGTCGAAAGAAGAGAAAATCATTCGGTGCGATGTTTAGACTATACGATGGATGATCAAAAACATCCCCTTTAAATTTTTGACAAAGTTTGTCGTCTTGTTAACACAGTGTGAGGTCGTGCTATTTCATGGGTTAAAATCATGATCAACCACCCTATAGTCCACTTCATTCGCATCAGTCCTAATGCTAGTGGAGGGACGGTCTCTGTGTTGGAGGGTAGGGTTCAAGGCCCTCCTCAGACTCCTTTTAGGAATAGTGTGCCACATTTAAATGTACCTACCTATATATTTCACAATTCACACCCTGTGAATTACTACATATTTATAATTGAAAAAACAGAGTTTTATTAAGGGTTGTAAAAGTTGAATATTTTTGGGAACTCAACTCAACACAAAAAAAACTTTTACAACCCTTAATGCAGCCCTGTTTTTTCAAATATTATATTTAAGAGGGGCAGGAACTGGTCAACTACATATTTATATTTTATGTACGAGAAATACTGTAACGGAAATCGGATGTGTACGTGTGTACTAGAAAACGGAAATGTCATTATGAAGCGTTTCGAGTATCCCGTTATCTCACTGAATAAAAGCAAGGATTTTACCGAGTAGAAGCAATAAAATCTTAACGATCATGGAAAATGCTATCTTGCTATTTTGTTTCCGGTTTCGCATAAAATACGGTCTGACGTAACGTAACCTGAATAGGTCTGTGGGGAGACATATACCCCTTTATTTAATTACTGTCCAGGGTCACCATAACACATACAACGAATAAATTATACCACATGAGACATTATTACGTTCCGTTTGTAACTTAGATTGAAAATATTTCAAGGACTGTTCGGGCATAACGAAAGCAAGTTGAGGGACTCCCTTCCTTTTTAATTTTTGATAGCTTAATCTAACTCTCAACTTACAGTTTCCTCCCTAAGTGATCATGACCTATGAACTTGCAAGATTGATTTTTGCAAAACAGCGACAGAGATTTTTGCATCATATTTCAAAGTCAAATTTTAATGACCACATTTACAGCAACGTTTACGTATTAGGGGATTTTAATTTGTGACACAAAAAGATTACTTGAATTGGATAGTATATTTTGGTAAAGATGAAATTCATTAATTGATTAATTTAGAACAGTGAACGGTGGATTGAGAATTAATATAAAATTCAACAGTAAAGTTTGCGAGAATATTTGAAACGATAATAAGTACAATTGTGAATATAAAAATACGATCGACCGTCGGAGTCTGGTTAATCATTTGCAGATTTACACTGTAATAGGACCTTTCAGTTATCCAGGCTACATTGTTGTAATCTATATAAAAAAGTGCTGACATAGGTCTGCTCTCTCTTTCATTCCCACCAGCCAGTAATGCTGGTGGGCGGGCAGTCCCTCCGGACTACGCCGGAAGGTAGGGCGGAAGGCCCTCTTCAGCCTGCTTTAGGGAATCGTGGGAATGGGTGGGTGGTAGTTCGAGTTAGAAAGATGAGATGGACGAAATGAAGNACTGACGCATTTGTTCGTAACAATACAAAGGAAACATATGGAAATTTTTCGTTAAGAATTCCGTTTAAATTCTGTTAGTCTTTGATAGCAAAATCCCTAAACTATGTGGAGACATCAATAGAAGTCCGCGTTGACCACCGTGCTGTCATTATATCCGAATTTGTTGTCTGTCTTTATATGCGATCCACCGCCATAAACAGAGTCGTTCACTTCTTTTTCTTTTTGAAAGATTTGTGGCTAACTGATGAATAAACTCTCTTGCTATATTCGTTAGTTCCGAAGAAGAGCCACTTAGAGTTCGCATATAAATCTCTTCCAAGTAGAAAATATTTCCACATGCATCACCTCAGCGAAGTAGAAGAATTTCTGATTTAAACGAGCGTAGAACAAAATGGTTCTCCTGATTTTCATGCTAGGGTTGTTAAGTCTCGAGAGGTGACTTAAATTTATCACGGGGATTTATCTCGTCCCTGAAAATTGAGGCATTTGTTTCATTCTACAGTTTTTTGGGAACATAGCACCTCTTTATGACTAGTATTAATTATAGCGTTTATCGCTTAACGAGCTGGGCACAAAGAGCTTTGTACCTTCATTTTTCCTTATTATGTTCTTCTAATTTTTAACTCTTGGTACAATGCTTTTATGTTCGCGAACTGTTAATTTAGAAATTCGAAAAAGGTTCTTAAAGGTGTATGTTTCGAGCACGGCACTGTATGGGTGCGAAACATGGGCGGTGGACGCGGCGGAAAAGAATATGTTAGAAGCGTTCGAAATGTGGTGTTACAGGTGAATGATGAGAATACTGTGGATAGAGAAGGTTAGAAATAAACAGGTATTAGAAAGAATAGAACAGAAGGAAGGCAATAAAAAATAGGCAAGATGCGTTGGTAAGACACCTTTTCAGACATGAAGGTCTGGTCAGAAGCATACTAGAGGCAGAAACGGGAGTTAGGAGGGGTAGAGGTAGACCCAGATTAGATTGCTGTTCGCAAATAGTTAAGGATGTGGGATGTACTAGTTTTAGGGAAGTGCGAAGATTAGCTCAGGATAGAAAGGAGTGAAAGTGAGTGTCCAATCAGTCTTAGGACTGACTACCTTATGATGATTACAATGCTTAACTTAAAAGTTCCACAAAAATATGTCATTCGATTCAGAAATGTCCTATACTTACTTATGAAACTAACTTTATAATTTGTATAACGAACATAAAAACTTGATTTAGCCTTAACTAGTTATACTTCAGTATAATGCCACAGGGTGATATTCGTCTTGGCCCTCTGTGTTTCGTTTACTATGTGTATTCGAGGAGATTTAAGTTAAAATCGATAGGTAGATTTATGACACCTTTTGACGAGTCGAGTAAGTCCAAATTTGGACGATGAGTACTGTTATCGATAGTGAATATCTACAGCACCTACTTACATTTCATTTTTGGTTGTAATATGGCCTTACAATGTACGTATACGGAACCAACTACATATCTGAGCATAGACATTTAAACCCAATATTGAAACTCAGTCTTAAGCACAATCCAATCCTCTAATAGGTACGACACATTAGCAGACGTCCAAACCCTATAGAATTTTAATGACTTACCAAAAATGTTAACCTTTTAGGACTTTTTTTTTCATTGTTTCAATTAGAGAGCTTTCGTTTTGTAATTTAAGCTTATTTAATTTTACTAAAATCGACTTTTTTTTAGT